ACTAACAAAGGGTATGTTCACATTGCTTGCTACAAGCAGACGCAAGAAAATGCTGACTGTGTTTCTGACCCAGCTGGAAACAGGGGTTACACCTATCTGAGTAAATTAAAGCGTGCCCAAGAGCACTCCCAGGTGCTGGAGCTGGATCATCTACTCCGCTCAGGGTGGGAGGGTGCTCCTGGTGGACTTATGTCCTATGCCAGCTCCACCGCAGAGTCCCCCTCACCCGAAGGCAATGCTGCAGGGACCTCTCCCAGAGGGGCAGCTGCCATGGGGTCACTCTGTTTTGGAGACTGAGAGAGTGATCCCACCAGCTCGTTTCACACTACAGTATTCCTGAGCATGTTTAATTTACTAGTGTAACTTTGGCCAAAGTCAGCTCTGAACCAGAACTCATGTAGCTGTACTTAGGCGGTGCTTGAGCCCAAGCTAATAAAACCTGCTGAGGGGCAGGATATATTAGCTCGGGTTCAGTGCTGTGCTAACATGGCTCTATGGCTTCCAGATGGCTCAGAATTTAGGCAGAACTATTGCCTGCCAAAGTCCATATATATATCAATATAAATATATATATCCTAAACTCCCCTACTGTAAAGACACTAATGAAGGTGAACTCACTCCTGGTACTTTGCCTTGTAAATACCAGATCCACCAAGAGACTTAAATGTAACGACGCAGCAGCATCCTCCAGAGTACTTGATGGCTACCGTGCTCATGTAAGTTAGGTGCCGAGGTTGACTGGGGGCAACCTCAGCATGAGACTGATAACATTTAGTGTTGTAAAGGTGAGGCCAAGGCCAATGTAAAGTATGCAGCCAACTACCTGAAGAAGTCAGGGTGGTGCCACAGGTTGCTATGGGTTGAAAGCAAGCCAGCCACCCTCTGTGACACAGAGAATGTGCCATGCTGCCTCTCTGAAGGCTTCATAGGAGAAAGGGACCTTGGAAGGCCCAGGCTGAAAGGAGAAGAGGCTAAAAAAGAGAGAGTGTGTCTCTTAATGTCTTCCCTATCATGGCTGGAGTAGGACCTCACCAATTCTTCCTGCAGCATGTAGGATTAGGAGCCAAATCCCCTTCCAGGGGACACACGTCGGAGTGTACCCAAGTACATGCTGGAGAAAGAGTTGGCCTTCCCCAGGCTTCACTTGGATCAAGGAACCTGTTTCTTTTAAGTTTCCCTTTGCTCTGAGGAAAAAAAAATACCTGAAGTAAGAGTCAGAGTTGGGGAGCTGAGGATTCC